GAGTGTTTCCAGATCCAGAAGAGGTTTTCTTGATCATTTTTTTCTTCCCTTAGTTCTCCAGTCCTTAATAATTTTGTAGAGCTCACTGTCTGCAACATTTTATCACAGTGTGTATCCGTGTTTGTCTGCATGCACATGGACAAGGTTCAAAAGATTCTTGCTATCTCTAAGTGTGGTAGCGGGCAGCAGTAATCACAGACGATCACGAGCCAGTTCACCATGTGGTATTTTGTTTTCACTAGAAATCCCTGAACCTCTTTAGATGATGCTATTTTGGGCTCAGTCTTGATAGGGAATGAGGATTGGACTGACTGACTGGAAATTGATTTGGTGAAATGAAAAATATAGAAAACAAGGTGTTGGAAGATGGTTGTCTGTTTCAAAAGAGCAAGCATAAAGAAAACAGATCTGCAAGTAAAATCAGTTGCCTAAATAAGCTTGAGAACTTGAATATCGAGATGATTTGTAATTCTTGTAAGTTAAAGAGAAAAATATTTTTAACCCTCTTCTACAATAACTGTATGAATAACCCTTCATAAAAGGAGGCTAGAAATAAGAACTGGAACGAGATGCAGAACAAGACTCAGTTGAAGCTGTATCTTAAGTCAGAATAGCTATGGATCAAGTTTGATCTAACTAATTTGAATTTCAGTAATATTTTCTGGGGCAATTAGTTAAGATGTGAATTAGAGATTCATAAAAATAAGCATGATATAAGATGTGTATAGTCTTGGCTATGAGTACTAAAGAGGTGTTGTCAGAGTGGATGATAATGCTGGTTTCTCCAGGTTTCTTGACAGTTGGTGACTGAAAGTGACCTTAGCATAAAAAAAAGCAATGCATGCTGATACAATTTGCTGATGGTATAAAATTTAAAGACATCCGTTGTACTTGAGAGGCCATTACTGAAAAACTATACAACCTTGAAGATTTGAATTACTAAACAAAATGACACGAAGTGCAAGGTGCCATAGACATGAATTATTACAAAGAACCTTTGCAATAGACTGCGAGCTCAGCTGGAAATGCAGAGAATTAGGAAGAGGTGAGTGGGTTTAGCTGGTCACAGCTGAGTCTGAGTCATGAAGCCAAACTGAATAAATAAGATATGAAAATTTATCAGGCTATTTTTATTCTGTAGAAGTGGACAACAGTGAGAAGACATAATTTTAATTGCACTATGTTTTTTCTGGTTAGTCAAAAGTAATGAATTCAATGTGGAACAAATACAGAGAAAACCATTAAATAATTGGTGTATAATGGCTCTGCTTATGGTGAAAAGCACAAGACAAACTGGTAACTGAGACAGGATGGTTGCAATTGGTTTTCAGAAGTGTGAAAAACTATTAAAAAAACCCCCAAAATAACCCCAAACTAATTCAAGTGTTTATTGAAAGTTCTGTAATAATTAGGCCTAAATGTTCCATAATTTGTTTTTGATTTGCCACTATGTGGAGTCTCTGATACGCTTTGAGGAAATGTTTTACTGGTAGAGATCTAGCTCCTTATCTAACAAGGTGATTAGCATTATCCTTTTGCAGCAGATGTTGCTGTTCTGTGGTTTCTAGCAATATTAAGTGTGCTTAGTTACTCTCTTATCAATTCCCTTTAATAGGAGTAGGAAAAACCTATATGCTTAGTGAAAGCTTGTAAATAGTAGAGTCAGCAAAGCTGTAGTGACAGAATCTAAGGAAGACATTTTCTCTATTCAGTCATATAGAGAGAATATTCAATAAAGATGTTTGTTTACTTTGGCTCTGTTGGAAGTATTTACAAAAAACAACAACAACAAACAAAACACACAACAACAACAAAAATTTGGGAAGAATCCTTTCTAGATATGATCTTGGAAAAATCAAAGGGAATTGACCAGTCATGTACTTTCAGTACAAACAGTTTCAAACAGTTCATTCTGTATCTACAGGTCTGATATCTGCATTTTTGAAACAGAGCTGGTCATTAAAGAGAGACCAACTATTGGTTTTCCAACAACACAAGTTGCCAGTAGCTTAAGACTCTTGCTTCAAACACTTGGTCTCCTGAAAAGAAAATTCTTCTTACAGAGCAAGAGACCTTTTTTTCAAACAACTATTTTTTATTGCTCCAAACAAAATTCAGGAATGGCAACTTAAATTTTAAAACCAGGAAGTGAATTTACAGAAATTTTGATTTGAGAAATAAAAAGGTGTGTTTTTTTGTGTTGTTTTTTTTTCATAATCAGTAATTTCACAAGAAACTTGGAGAAGGAATTAGTGGTAATTCCACTATTCCACTTGGAATTAGTGGTAATTTTAATTTTATTATTTTTAGCTCTTATTAAAAAAGTAACATTTCAAAATTTTCATTGTAAAATAACAAACAGGAACAATTTTTCCCTGCTTATTTTTAATTATTAACACAAAATGACTGGGAAAATATTATTTTGCAGTTGTTTTATAAAAGTGTCGGCCTAATACTAGAAGTGGAACACTGTAAAAAGGAAGCTGTGAGTCCTCCAAGTCTCTGAAGATTGTGGTGTCATGAAGTAGTGGACTTTTCATATACAATCATGATGGATGCCTGAAGGGAAAAGAGGCAACAGGGAGAGAATACATACAGCCAACAACTCACAGAGAATTTCCTCTATATGAAGAACTGCCTTATACTGTGATTTTGAGTAGTGCTGGCTTTCCAGTCTCTAGAGGTGAAACATGGAATTGTTTAGGCTGCTGTGGCTGGGATTAGTTTGTGATTTACCCCAATGCCTTTGTAATGATGTAATGCTTAGATTGCTGTGGCTAGTCACTGGAACTAGACTTGTGTGGTTGGATTGGGTGTGCACAGCTCTCAAATAATCTAACACATAATCTCAAATTTAACAAAGTATGTATGAAAGCGTAGGCTGATAACTGTCTTTCAGAAGGGAAAATAACTGGTGCAAGAGTTAAGGTCATTCTTATTAATGAAGAATTCTCAAAGAAGACTGTTTTGAATATTGAAAAGAGACCATTCTGTGAGGTACAAGGAGAATCTGTACAGAAGGATTTGGGTCCTCGTTCTGTGATCTCCTTATGCCACTGGAAGCATTGGAAGGGGCTACTCTGTAGCTAAAAGATAGCAGGATAAGCTGAGGATAATTACACTTACTGGAAAACATGAAATACCCTTGTCTGGTTTCCGAGCAGGAGATATACTAGCACTTTGTGTATGTAGTATTTAATAGGGTGTAATAGCATGTAATTCTCATTAAATTGAAATTAAAGGAGGAACAAGCTTCTTTTGGTGGGGGAGCTTGACTCTCTTGCTCTGTTCTTTTAATAGCAAAAGGGTGATAGAGCTCCATTTCCTCTTTTTTTTCTGAAACTGATTTTGAGTAGAAACATGGATCAGTAAGATGTAAATCAAGGGGAAGTTCTTGGGACTGGTGAAGTCTTGCAGTATACTTGGAAAAGTGTTTTTTCTTCAGACTGATCTTGCTAGTAATCTATTCCTGGGACAACTGTCTAAAATCTGATGTCTCGTAGCTTACTTTAAAGCATTAGAAGTATTAGTGTACTCAGTTTGCACCACATGATTATAGAATCCAGACTGCTCTAAAAACACTCTGCCTGAAGAGCTGAGTGGGTTTCTCTCTGGACTCAGTCAGTCACAGCTACCTGGTCCTCAAAATTCAGCTGTGAAACTCAGATTCCTCCAGACAACTAAAATATCTTTTAGAATATATTCCTCTCAGGACTGCATGGACTAATTACATAACCTTTGAGATGTGAAAGCAGAAAAAGACAGAAGCACAGGTGGGAGACACTGTATAAGCTAAATTTAATTGCTAAAGAGAAAATGCTGGCTCAGTGCTCCTCAGTGGTAATTTAGAAATTTTCATTCCCTTTTTTATGCTTATACAAAATTTGGCTAAGTAGTATAAACTCTGTGGTTTTATGCTTACTTGGCCATTACTGAAATTTTCCAGTTTTGAGCACTTTGCATGAACATCATCCGTTTTACAAAAAATAACAAGTGTTTTGAAGACTTTCTTTCTTAAGGGAAAATTTCTAAGTAACCCTATCTCATTTTTTGTTTCATGACTGTTCCATCTACTTATGACTTTTCCAGTGTAATTGCAATTTTTATATGTTGTTGTTAGCTATAAAGTCTCCTTGCTGTTAGATTAAAAAGGTACACATGGAACTGAACATCTGTGCACTGAAAGTGAGAAGTCTAAAAGCTGCAGTAGCTAACTGAATACTTGACAGTGGAGAAAAAACAGAGATGGTAGAGTGGTCTGCCTAGGTCTTGCATTTGTATGTTTAGGTGAGCACTTGTATTTTTTGTGTAACTATTGAAATCAAGATAGATAGGTACAGGATGTTTTTAAGGAGTGAATAAGTTTACCCACTGAAAGAAGAAGAATTAATCCTGCTCCAGAAAACCTCAGGGTCAGGAATAAGAAGGAAGAATGGCAGTTAGTGCAGGTGATCTTTAGTAGGAGAAAATTGGAGATGATTGCTTCTGCAAACAGAAGGAAATTGTAGTCTGTGCACTGAAGAGTGGGAACAAAATCCTTCAGAAGATGAGATACAGGACAAATTCAACAGTTAGGACCCTAATTCTGGGAAGGAACCATTTTCAAGAGAAAAGCACAGACAAGTTTTAGTTTTAATGGCAATGTTATTTGATCTATTTTTGACTTTCATAAAAATTAAATCTTTGTAAAGACCTTTTGGTTTTGGTGCCTGGGTGCAGTTTATTGTCAAAGAGAAAGAAAGAAACTGAGGTAGCAGCACTTTCTGATGGCAGATACGATAAAACCCTGTCACAGGGATGGTGTTAAATTTGTGCTTTATGTACAGGGTATGATAAATATTGCAATGTGTGCATGTAGGATATAGGAAGAACATGTTAATTATGAAGATAGGAGAAGAATAGCTGGATAAATTTGAAGTGTTTGTTGCCTTTAAAAACATCATATTTCATTTTAATGTTACAAATACTGTAAATTTCTCTTATTTCAACAGACTCTGAAGGCAGATCCAGAAGAACTGTTTACAAAACTGGAGAAAATTGGTAAGGGCTCTTTTGGTGAAGTTTTTAAAGGAATTGACAATCGGACTCAGAAAGTGGTTGCTATAAAAATTATTGACCTAGAAGAAGCAGAAGATGAAATAGAAGACATCCAACAAGAAATCACAGTGCTGAGTCAGTGTGACAGCCCATACGTAACTAAATATTATGGATCCTATTTAAAGGTAAGATGCTCACAGATATGGTAATTTGATTTTATAAGTAATTCTTTTCCAAATTATCCAATTGTGCCTGTTTTTGCTGAAAAGATTTCAATCAGACCTCTGTTGAAGAGAAACATATTTTTTCCTTTGAATTTTAAAGAAAGAATGTGTTACTATATTTTTGTGGTGTGACAGAACTTAACAGAATAAAAAAGATGTATCTTTAAAAATTTCTGTCCAAAAAGAAAGTTAATTCAAATAACGTCAGTTTGTTAAGCTCTAAGTAATATATTTAGATTTTCTTAATATTAGGGAGATGTAACTCTAACTGTTGTTTAAATTCAGAAAATATAACCTAAGTCTGCATTTGAATTGTCAAAACTTTAAAAACCATGAAGTGTCAGCTGTTTTGTGAAGCTGAAATTTTTGTCTGTGTTTGATTAGTAGCAAGGCTTAGGTTGCTTTTCAAAGGAGACTGAACCTAGTCTTGATCTGAGTGACTTAAAAAGTTAATTTATCTGCAAATCAGCAAAAAGCACATTTGCCATAAGTGAAACTTATGAACAGGGTTTCCATTAACTGGCTCTGAAACTGTTTCCTTTCCTTCTCCCTGCCATATTAATTAATTTCAAGGTTCAGTTTTAAGTGTGCCAGATAGAGGTGGTGGTGTGGATTGTTGGTGTTGATTTTTGTATTCTGGTGTGGGTTTTTTTAGTTTGGGTTTTCTTAATATTATATGCGAGCATTGATGTTCAGAAAATTGTGAAAATATCTGGAAACTTTTAGTACTACTTTATTTCTTTGTTTGGACTTCATCCTCATCTGCATCTAATCTTTTATGAGAGTGAGATGGCAATCTAGGCAAGAGATTGTGGTCTTGATGGGGTGAAGTTACAAGGAGGTAGAAAATACTTTAAAATTCATTTTCAGTCTGCTTTATGGAGGCATTTTACTTCATCAAAGTTCTGAAAGGGGGACCCTGTTTTATCTCTGGATTTCTGAGATTGCCAGTTAGTTTTCATGGAAAAAAGGACATTTTCTGAATCCAGGAGATGCTTTACTGAAGGGACTGACAGTATTTCCTCTCTTCCTTGTGCTCTGAACTGGTTTGCTTGGACAGTTCATCACTGAAGGCTTTCTGAATGCTTGCAGACCTGATAACCTCTCACCTGTACTGGACTTCTAAGTTATGTATAGTCTAGGTGTCTGAAGCATCAGGAGGCGCAGTAAATTGGATTGATTTTTCATCATGGCTTTTATCACTACTTCTGAAATTTCTCCATCTAGGTTTGGTAGTTATGTATGGCAAAAAGGCAAAAATGGGATCTCTCCTGGCCTAAGATCTTATAGGATAAGTGAAATAGATTAAAAAAAACCAAACAGAACTTTGCTATGAATGCCACAGTAGTTTTTAAAATGTGTAACAGCAGTGTGGCTGAAGAAGAGATTCCAGTGTCCAAATCAGAACTGAGTGGATGTCAACATTTTGTGAAGTGCATATGGCGGCTGTTGCTTTTCCTAGTTGAAGGAGATAGGAAACTGTAGGACTCAGTAGCCTCAAAGGGTTGGGTTAATGGAGGTATCATTAGTGATAATTGTGCTTATTGTTCTGAGGAGGACTCTCTGAAAATACTTCAACCTTCCATAGCCCTTCTGTCAAGTACGGTAGCCCGTGAATTTTCCGACTTGTGTCCGTTTCCTAAGATACTGCACTAACAGTGTCTGCATATGATGCTGTCACTTCTGGAGGAAAGTACAGCTCTTTCTACTCCTAGCAGAATGTACAGCTAGTCATGTTTATTTATTACTTCTGTTCTTTGTGAATGTATGTTGTGTTGCAAGATGCTTGGTACCACAGAACTTTTGGACTTCGAGACAAAAAACTTCTTTATTCTCATTAAAAAATAATATGTGGTGGTTATTAGATGGTGCTGAAGTGACAATTCTTGCAAAGGAGACATTTTGCAGTTCTGTTAGCTTTCTAAAGAAGGATCAGGTCTTGTTGTTGGAGAACACTAATGTGTCATCATGTATGTATATATAAACACACTTTTAAAGAACCATATTAATGTTTTAATGAATTTGTTAATATTCTTGGCTGAAAATGTAGGTTTATTTGCTGCAGATTTCTGTTGTATTTGCAAGCCAGGACTGCCATATGTAGTTCTAAGGGTCTGACTATCTTTTAACTCTGTTTCTGACAATATGATAGTGCATCACCAAGAACGTTCAACGCATTAATTTTCCACATCTTGAGTAATTTCTTCCACGTTATTTCTCCCATGATTTGACAGTTAAGCTCTAATTACAAGAAATATATTAATGTTTTCTCACACAATGTACTTCCTTGAAGTAAGCAAGTGGGAAAATGGTAAGATTTTAGGTTGTATTGCTAGCCACTGCAGTGGTTATTATTCTCTAAAGCCTGTGCATCTTGATGTGTGCTGACCATATGTCTTGTTGGATAGAAAAAGGTATTTATAGAGAATTCTCATGTTAATTTTCTATACATTTTTGGCAGACAAGTAGCAATTCCAATAACTTTCTCATATTTTTTTCCTTGTATCTCTAGATCAGTCTGTGTTTCTTTAGGTTTCTTGCATATCTTTCTGTGAGCTGAAAATGTGTCTTATTATGCAATAACTTTTTTCCTAAGTACTCCCATGTCAACTGTTAAGTAGGAGTTAAGTGTCTTTCATGAAAACTTTTTGGTATTTGTTTTGCTATAACAAGTTTCAAGATACTGGAAAAGAAATATTTCTGTCCCATTTGGGAGACTGCAGACCTGATTATTAATATTCATGTCCCTTGCTAGAACAAGTTTATCTAATTGCAGAATACCTGCTCTGACAGCCTTTAAAATATTTGATAGATTTTTAGAGGCATTCTGTATTTTCAGCAAAGGTGGTTGGTGGGCAGTGTCATGAAGACCTTCATATTTGTGAAGATTTTTCTAGGTAGTGAGAATGTTGAGGGTTTTGTATGCGTTTGGGTTTTTTTTGTTTGGTTTGTTTGGTTTTTTGTGTTTTTTTTTAACATACGAATAATCTTTCAGAAATCTTTGTGTTGTTCTTCGTTGTCTGTCATTCCACACCTGCTGCAATTAAGCTACATGATTATACATGCTAGTGTGTTAAGGGACCTGTTGCTTGAAAATTTAGAAGATTTATGTAATACTGCTGTACTTGCCTGAGGCCTCTTACTGTCTTCAGATGATGTTTCTGCTAATAGCTTGTCAAGCTTTTGGTATCTCTTGTGTGATAAACATGGAAGTAAAAGTTGAAATGAGTATTATCATTAAATGAGTTAACAGCAGTTACTTTGACCTAGAAATTAAACACATAAATAGATTAATAGCGTTACAGCTACTTTTTAGAGTAGGGTGATATATTTAGATGTCTTGTTGAATTTTCTTACTCTAAAATTTGTATATCCTAGCTTCATCTTTTCAGAAATGTTTTTGCTTTATAGCAATTCTTTTTTTTTTTTTTTTATACCCAGAGACTTAATTGTGTGTGATAGTACTGCTTCAACATAGTAAGTCTTAAATGAGAAACAGCTTATTGCTTATTTACGTTTGTTGTAAAGGCTTGTGAATGCTGGCTGTGGTCAGAGCTCATTTAAACAGAGCAGTAAGCAGTACTGAAGAAGGTACCAGTTTAGTTTGTTATCCTGAATATAAATTACTTTGCAGAACACCTTTTTGACAGAAACCCTAAGCCTAAACCTTATATAAAACAGCAAAGCAAATACTCCTTTCTGAAGTCAGATGTTTAAATATGATGTGTTTGTGTTTCCATTCCATTGGGACAAAGGACTTTTTTCTGCTGTAGGAGACAGTAAGTAACTAGAATGTTGCTCTTAAAGTGCATCGCAGCAACATGGTTTATATGGGTGCATGTATCTACAGGGATTGCTGTTCCTTATCTGCTGGGGTGTGTTAAAAACCTGTGTCAGTGTTCCTTAATGAAGTAAGCTTAGCAAAACAGGTAATGACTTCGTTATCTTGCTGCTCTAGGAGTCATATCTATCCTTACTGTCTCCCAAATGAAAGGTTCATCTGGTCCATCTATGATCTGATTAAATGGTCCATGAATAGAAGAGTTATAGCTCTTTTTGGTTCCTTATAAAATTAATTACTGACACTTCTCTGGATCTGTTTACTTCAGATTTTGGTAACAGGATCCACTGCCTCCATTGTAATGGAATAGGGATTCTTTGTGTTTCTTATTAGGTGGGTGTTGGTTTTTTTTTCTTCTTAGAAGAGAGAGCAAACAACTTAAAACTACTTTATGAGTTTTGACATAATGTAGCTCTTTAAAAGTATTGCTATGCTGTTTCTTCTTAAAGTTTTTCTGTCTAGGAGCTTGTCAGCTCTGCTTTCTGCATCTTATTCTGCTTTATTGAGTTTTGAAGCGGTTAGTTAGATTTGGTTCTGAAATTCTTTCTCTTGGCCTCATAGTTTGGAGTCTGTTTTATTTTCAAGACTCAGATGCCTTTCTGATAGTGTTTCTTCAGTTATGTTAATAACTTCAGTTACTGTTTTATTACAACTTTACAACACTTTTATCTTTCTTTCATCTTGTATTAATTATTTTTCTTTAAATGTTTGAAGTTTCTTGGCTTTTTTGCAAATATGTATGTCACTGAAAGCTGAGGTTAATATATGTATATGGACAAAAGCTGAGATGAATGTTATATATATGTATACACATTAAGAATCTTTACATTTCCTGTCTTAGACTTCTATACATATGTATATAAGGGTAGAGCAAATGATCATTAAGTAGTTTCAATGTCCAGTATAACTAGGAAGAAGTGATATTGAAGTCTTGCAGTATGTATTTTAAGAATATTACTATCTCTGAGCTCATGTTTTATCATTCTTCAGATATCGTTTTCTTGCACACTGTAGCTTTTGAGATACCCTTTTTTGAACTACTTAAACTTCTTGACTGAGTGAAAGATCAGGCCTCTGATTTATTTTCTATCCCTTCTCTTACCCAGACAACTTCCCATTC